CAGATAATTTTGCGTAAGAAAAGTCTGTTTCCACAATGTTTGACGTGGGGTACAGCTAAAACCGTTTTTAGAAGGCTTTTGAGAAGTAGCTTCCAGACTACAAAACGTGGAATAAAATATTGTTCACAGAATATGTGCGTTTGCATATTCATAATTAGTTGTTGATACTACACCTGTGTTCGTGTTCATAATTATTACTTCAAATCCGCAATCGATACCTGTTTGTTTTTATTATTCATCAACTAATTTGTGTTTATATATTCACATATTCTAGACCTGCCAGTTTGTATTACATGCCCCCATGGTTTCTGGTCTAATGGAAACCACACTGAGTGTATGGAAAAAATACAGGACTACTTATCATGGCAGGAAACAAGTGGAATTGTTGCTGTCTGCTCTGCAATCTTGGGTACACTTTTAACTGTCATCACCTTAATGATATTCGCAACGAATAGGTATACGCCGATTGTGAAAGCAGCCAATCGGGAGCTCTGTATCATGATGCTAGTATTTCTCTCCGTCTGCTTTGTGAGCTGTATTGCATTCGTTGGTCGCCCAAACGAGCTGCAGTGTAAAATGCAGATCATACAAGGAGTATTCCACACTAGCTGTGTTTCAATCATCTTAGTAAAAACTCATCGAATTTTAACTATTTTTGGATCGAAACTACCAGCGGCTTTGCAGGAGAGACGTTTCGCGAGACTTCAGTTGCAGCTACTGCTTTTGTCGTTCCTCGTTGCAATTCATGTTGCGCTGGTGATTGCGCTTCTGGCACTGTCGCCCCCTGGTGTTGAAATGAACGACGACATTTCAAAAACGGTGATGTACATTCATTGCAAACCTTCCAATATTATATTTTCTCTTTCAACTAGTATGTATACCTGGTTGGTGTCTGGAATTTGTCTCATATTGGCGTTCAAATCACGAAAGTTACCGGATAATTTTAATGAAGCCAAATTTATAACGTTCGCCATGGTTCTGTATTTTATTGTTTGGTCATTTTACTATCCATCATCGATTCTCACGTACGGAAAATTGAGAGCTCTTTTCCGGTGCCTAGTAAACATTGTCTCTGCTGCAGCTCTGTTAGTTAGTATTTTCCTCCCGAAATGTTACATTATTTTGTGCAAGAGGGAACTGAACACAAAGGCGGCCATACAGAGAGTTACACGCCAACATTCTATGAAAGTAACTTCGAGGGCGCTTGAATTAACGCCAACAAAAAGATCGTACTCGATGGGATCAGCAGAATTGAACCATTTAAATCCAAAAGAAAGACAACTGTCGTCTGCTGAAATATTGGTTTGAACATGAATATAAGAAAACAATTTTAAATGCCGCAATATTTAAATGAATGTTACTACAAAAAAATAACTTGTGTTTTTTTCTAGCACATACCTACTCTAGAGAATTACCCACTTTTCCTACCTTATAACGCATGTAATGCTACTGAATTCGATGTTTCTTATATCTTACCATTTTATATGTTATTTCATCAGCGGCTTTTGCTTTGTTGTACGCTTTTTGGTGTTGGATGTGGCTATGACCGTAAATCCGCATATCATGAATGTGAAGGTGCACTTTTTTTCTGCAAAAAATTTACAGCACATGTTTGAAAATGAAAGACGTTGTGGAGTTATGTAAAACTTTTAAATAACAACAGATGTGATTTTTTTAAAGAAATGATCAAATATGTTCCCTGCGCTGCCCTGTGATATTACATGGAATTAATAAATCCCTGTTTTGGTTTTAGTTATTCCATAATTTTAATGATTTTGATATTACCAATTATTTTGTAAATCGTGCATTTGTTCATTGGATATTTTTATATATTGGGATTGTGATTTACATCTGTCTACCTACTTCTTTATACTCTGAAATCAAATTTATGTTTGTTTTTGATTGTGTTAATATTTCGTACTTGTTGTTATCTAAATGTCAATTTTTACACTTCTCTGACTTTTTTGTGCTGCACAATTTAATAATAAATATTTTTATTAAAAACATCTGGGTTCTTAATCATAATTTTTTTTTGATTGAAATAATAAGATTTATCAAATATGCAACATTTTGTTCATTTGTTTCCGCAATGACAATTGGCCCTCATATTCGAGGACGACATAATAAATACGAAACACGTTCAAAGTTCAAATATTGTTTTCACTGTTTTTGACAAAAAACTGAAATTGTGTATTGGGTACACTAGACATTTTAGATTATGTATCTGCATCAATGATATCTTCTATTGTTCATGCAGATTTATCAAAACCAAAATCCAATTGAATAAAATACTAGTTACAAAACGAATTTACCAACTGTTATTTTCATCTACAAAATCATGCATTTTAATGATTTGGCGTATACGGTTCCTCCTATGAAGTGTTTTACTAAGTGCAAATCGAGCTTTGCAGTGACATATTAGTATATCACATGCAATATTAAACAGTTGATATGCTGTGCTTTATTCACACTTGAATTGATTATAGTATATATGTGAGGAAATGAATACTATTAACTTTTAGTGTATGTTTATTTATAAAAACACAAAATACAACAGATATTCACAGAAGTTATCATAAAAGCATGTAGATAATAGTTGCTCCCTCTATCGACATGTATATTTGAGCGTGTTCCCATAGATATGTGTAGAGTGTGCATGGTATAATTAAAACATAAACTTAAAGATTGCTTGTCTGCAATAAACCATTTCCTGGGAGAATCTGGATGAATTTGGCGTAAATCAAATGAGATGTTGATAAATTTTGAATAAACTGAAACCTAGATGATGACTTTCAAATGTGATTTCAATTGACGCTTTTTATTTTTATATACTACTATACCACATAGGATACATTCAAATTACGCATTATGAACATTATCCATTTGTCGATATTACACATACACGAAGTGAAAAACTTGAAGGAAACACAATTAATTGATTCTGAGCGTACATGAACATTTATAAGTCAACGACAACACGTGTATAGACACATTTTGGTTACTGTGAAATTTCAAAATGAATCATGATGTGTTTCGTGTTAATTCACTCGTCCCCATATTTGTCAAATTATCATATATTTGTTAATGGCATTCCAACAACATTTGGATTATTATTTCAACTTAGACACCTAGAGCATGTAGATCTGCTGGGAGCAGAATCCGAACCTAAAAGAAAACACATACATGAGGCCAACCTTCGAAAAAGGCGGCAAAATGCGAACAGTATGTGAGTAATTGAAATTAAAGTGTTCTGATTGGCTGTCGGTACATAGCTAAAATTCGGGTGAGGGTTCAAAAACCAAGTTCAAAAATTTCGCTCATAAATGACGATGTAACTAACAAGATAGATGTTAGCTCGTGACACAAAAAGCTGAAAAACAAAGAAAATGTGAGCAGCTGTGAATAAACTGGACCTAAAATGTAAAAATAGCTGTGAAAGAAGTATTAAAACAACAATTTAAAAGCGCTTCGATATAAAAAGATCAGGTACGTAAGCTTCTAGATTTCTAATGAACCTTCTAATTGATTGATTGATCGATACCACAAATTATGCAGTCCTGGCATCTTATGTTATACACAGTGCGCTTGAGCTCAAATTTCTATATCACCTTATTATAATAAAACAGGCGTAGACAGTGAATTTGTGAATAGACGATATTAATTCAATAATGAAATAAATTGAATTATTTTGAAGTGAAGTAAAACCAATAGCGAATGCATCACCTATAGCTATCGTATTTAACTAGAATTATATTTTATTAATAGAAAATGTGAATCATTTTCAAGATTTGGTATATGATTTTCAAAAAACCAATGCATAACAAGTTAATGTCGTGGCAAGATTGAAAGTTGGCCATGGCAGACTAACGTCAATATCATGATATGAGCACACAACACTCCATATACATGCCTGTCTTAGATTACCTGGTGGCGTGTTTGAGAGGTATTTTTGCAATCATCAACTGGTTTCTAATTCCTGTATTATTTAGTCGCAATTTATCTCGGCTAATATCCTTCCAGTGTTTAGTGTTGACAGAAGACAAAATAATTGCATTCCAATGCACTCCGTATGTTTGAGGTTACAATGTTAATTCCAAACATTGACCTTGTCGGTTTGTAATCTAGTTTTAATGAGCTGCGTTACGTGGATAATGTTGTACAGTAATTAACAGACTGACATTGGATATTGGTTACTTTAAAAGTAACGTACAATTGCCCTCCCCGGTTTAAGGACATGTGTTTTTCTTATCGGATAATAAAGCTCATTATCAAGCATTTTGTTTGCAATTTATTTTAGCTCTCAGGAGTGAACGTAATGTCGGAGCACTATTTCAAATGAAACATAATAGGTTTCTTCGTACAATGACCTGATAGGCAAATGAGTTGTGTTCCCTGTCATTTCCTAATTAAAGTGCAAATACCTTTGCAATATGAGTGCAATACCTTTTAATTCCTTATTGTACTAGCTATATAATGGACATTGATATACAATTGAATATTACATGCATGTGTAAGGTTGATTTTGTCTATTTTATGTATTACAATTGTTGTTTGTATTTGCTTTTCATTAATAGATCAAACATGCACATATTTGTGAACTAGGTCGCAAACTTAATCGATCTTAATTTCTCATTTACGATATTGCCCAATTCGAACCCACGTCTATGGCGTTATTACAAGTCATGCGACAATGGAGTAAAAATACATTTTTTTTAAATAATTAAATTCATTTAGTTTTTTTTACATTTATTTTCATTGTAGTGTCGGGTTATACCTCGTCCTTTGCCAAAGTTATAATTGAAATCGAT